TTTATTTTTTACGTTTGCTTTTGTGTTTCTCCTGATGTGCATATACACCGCAAGGTGTCTGCCTATACACCTCAACCACACCTCTTTCTATGTTCGTTTTATACTAAATATATATTTTATTTGTTTTTCTTTTTCTTTCTTTCTTTCTACTCTAGCCAGCAGCTACAAAACAAGTACAAATAAATAACTAATAGTGCATGCAAAAAATAAATAAAGATACAGAGACAGAGACAGAGTATAAAATAAAAAAAAAAAACAAAAGCTAAAAAGAAAGAAATAGAAAACAACAACAGAATAAATAAATAAGATTGAGAAGCCGCATGGGCGAGGTTTTTTTTTTTTTTTTGATTGACTGAATAATAAATTAATTAATTTATGCATATATTTATTTATTTATTTTATTTATTTAATTAATTAATTTATTTATTTGTTTGTTTTTTTGTCTGCATTTGAGGCGGCCGGTGACCCCGCTGCTCGCTTATATATTTATTATAATATGGAGACAAAATATATGTGCTGCAGCCCCTCTATTCCCTATCTCTTTCTCCTTAGAGAAAAAATATAAACCACGAGTCTTTGCTCCTCTGCTGCAGTTGCCTGCCTTGCTGCTGCCGCTACTGCTGCTGCTGCTGCTGCTGCTGCTGCTGCTGCTGCTGTTGTTGTTGTTGTTGTTGTTGTTGTTGTTGCTTCTAAGCCAAACGTGCGCCCTCGGATGCCTCTTCTTCCTCCTGCTCCTGCTCCTGCTCCAGCTCCTGCTGCTGCTGCTCCTGCTGCTGCTGCTGCTGCTGCTGCTGCTGCTGCATCTCTTCGTCGTGAAACACGCAGCAGAGAGGAGTAGAGGGGCCGCTGGGGGGATTGGCTACGGCGTTTCTCTCCCATTCTCTAGGGCAGGATAAACCATACGAGCGGCTCTGTCTCCTGCCTGTTCTTGCTGCTGCTCTTGCTGCTACTCCTGCTCCTGCTGCTGCTCCTGCTGCTGCTGCTACTCCTGCTGCTACTCCTGCTGCTGCTGCTGTTGCTGCTATCCCTTGAAAAGATGTTTCTCCCTCTCTTGCAGCAGAAGAGCTCGCATGCGGATCGCCTGCGTTTTGCTGCAGCCCCGCACCGGTCCCTGGCTCCCTCCTGCTGCTGCTACTACTACTACTGCTACTGCTGCTGCTGCTGCTGCTGCTGCTGGTGCTGCTGCTGTGTGTGCGTCGCTTGCGGAGAAACTCAAAGGCGTGGCGAACGCGAGCAGCAGAGCAGTG